TAAGGCGTTGCCAGTGGCTCGGATTAATGAGCTAAGACAGCGGATGGGGATGTCATGGCAGCCTGACTCAGTTGACGAGGTGCATGAGGAGGACAAGGGCATTGTTGCGCCTCGTGCCATGAAGTTGGTCGCGAAGTACCACCTGGAAAAGGCCATGAGGCTTGTTGTGGTGCTGTCGGCACTCAAAGAGGTGCATGGAGCGATGGCGGAGAACGTCACCAAGAATGTTGATGAGAATGTTGAGGGTGACCAGATCTTGTACCTCCTCAGCGTCATGATGATGTTGCTGGGAATGGTGCTCATGAAGGTCATTCAAAAATGCCGCGTGCATTGGAACCGGGTGGAGGACGATCCGGCGACGCGTAGAGTGAGGGTCTCTCGCTTGGCTGGTCAATCTTCTTCCGGGACAAGGACTTCTACCAGACCTCAAGGAGGAGGAGATCGAGAACCACGTCAACGTGATGGAGAATGGCAGCAAATGAACCATGGGGGGCAGAGTGCTTCATCCTCATCACCAAGAAGTACCAGGATGAGTGGAGGCGTTGAAGATGGACATCAAGGGAGAGCGGATCCCACGCTGAACGAGCCACAGGAGGAACCGCCGAATCAAGCTGATCTACTTGGAGGGCATCATCTACAGATCACCCTGACCGGGAGGAGGAGGCGATTCCCCAATGAGCCAACGTGGAAGATCTGGTTCGCGGAGTCCAGCAAGTGCTTCCATAGACAGCGAAGCTGCAGGGGATTGAGGAAGGCCAACCGAGTTCATGAACAGCCGGTGTGTGGGGCTTGTCAGAGGGCCACTAGAGGTTAGAGAAGTCTTCAGGAGACGAGCTTCATCTATGAGGACCAACTCGGCAACTTCCACACCGACGCTCGGTGCAATGCGGTCACGGGACCCATGACTGAGATCCGACAGTGCAAAGTCTGCGGATCCTGAGGCGGCTTGAGCCTAGAGCTCGCTTTTGAAGGTTGGTCTAATGCTAGAAGCAGAGACCAAGGAGGAGTGCACGTCCGCAAAGGATGACACGCACAAAACGAAGGGTGTACCAAAACGGACACTTGAAACAAACCCAACTGAGACGGTTGGAAGCCGCTTTTGCACAAGCCTGAAAAAGGTCTTCAGGCTGAAACCTTCAGTTTCAATGCAATATACTGCAATGTTTGCTCCTCTTTAGGTTCACTGGCTTTCACTGCTCAGCTTCCAGGAGGCTTGGCGAAGTCAAAACAAACAAAGCTCCGGGAGTCCAGAGTCCACGTGTCAATACGGGGAATGCCGATTCGGTACATTGACGTGATCGACAAGTGTAATTAGATAGTCTAAACAGGTAAACATCATACTTTGAACAATGCACTAGCTAGTTGCCTGTTTTAGTACAGTTCGCACTTCGCGTCGGTCACAAGTCCCGGTCGGGAACATAGGAGGGAAGACTAGATGCAGTAGCAAGGCACTTGAGGTTGTATAAAAACCCCCTATCCTTTTGCCTTACCACTTTTGGCGTTATCGTTTTCTTTTCTTCCTTATCGTTTTACAGTACTTTGACTAACTGCAACATATGTAACATATGTAGTATACATGTGTGTGTGTGCACTGCGTGCATGTGGTGTGGAACCTGCAGACATGAAGACATTAGGTACAATTCCCCATGCTGGAGTCCATGCTAGAGTCCCCAGACAGAAGATCTTATTGCTGTCCATGGCGCTCACATGTGGTGGCCTACCTACACAAAGGTCTTTTAGGCTCGCTGCGTTATCGTTTTTGTTATCGTTTTGTTATCGTTTTGGCGCCTGGTGCAACTAGGATTTTTTTACAGATTCTGCCCTAAAGAACGGGAGATGGTTCACACTCTGTTTGTCGAGCAGGGACTGTTCTTTCGGAGGCCCAGGAGACACTCCTTGTTGCTCCCTCTGTGAGGACGTAAGCCTAAAACCACAAATAGAAACATGCCAAGGGATTTCCACGACAATCATCGGGGGTTATCGTTTTTTTTCTTCCTTATCGTTTTACAGTGGTTTGCAGATGCTCCAAGAAAAACGGACATGCGAATACTAATTCCCTGGGTGGGGGGTTTTTATAATCTCTCACTTGTTTCTTTAATGCTGTATCTGCCTCGCTCTTCTACACCCCCACAACATGTTCAAAAGCACGTGTATCCGGGCGCTTCCTGCATGGGACCGCCGGTTTCTTCGTAGAGTTTCCGCGACTCGGATGGCGGGAAAAGGAAGAACCTCAGCGCAGCAAGGCAAACCATGGCATTCATCAGCCCGGCTCTGAACAACTGGCAACCTACATTGGTTTTCCAAGAAATGGATCACAGCACACACATCTGAACGCATATTCATAATATATATATATGTATATGTTATTCAAATTTGTTGAGTATCCTGTACTATTGATGTCTGTCGCTTGTTTAAGTGTGATCTATGTATCTGAGATTTGTGAACGTGCACGCTAGCTGCTAGCGTCTGACCTCTAAAGACCTGGGCCATTTCCTCAAAGCTTTGGGCGTAATGATGCGTAATGCATCGTAATGCATCCAATGCCTTTATATGCCATTCAAGTGACACTCTCCTGCCCTCGATCTGATTGAACCAGCTATGGGCTCCAGCCACCTCTACCTCGACGCAACAACTTCACCCGGGTTGACTTCCAAAGGCCGATGTTCACAGCATTTGGACTAGTTGCATGGAGTCTTGTAATGGAGCCTGTTGCTGCAAGAGTCACCTGGCGACTGCGAACGGAATCCGGTTCAGCAGAACAAAACACTCCCTGCACCGTACAAACCTGTTCACAAAACACTCCCTGTCACAACACAATGATAGAACATATTGCAACCAGTACTCTTGGATTTTTGTTCACAAAACGGCGATTATTTCACTTGATAAAATAAAGGTAGCGAAACGAATGACCTGTCCGACCAGGCATCCCTATACAGCTGCCGGAACATGGACAAAGAACCACTGCTTCCTTTGATCAGTGGAGCCAGTCGACATGATCGACAATATTGAGTTGATTCCAAATGGCCTTGTAAAAGCGCGAGAGCGTCTCCACAGGATCTTGCAAAGAAAATGCGTGCGCAAAAACTTGAGCGAGCCTGGCCAAAATATGTTCCACATCAAATCAAATGTCAGTCCTTCCACTCTTGAGCAAGCGGGAAAAATCACTGACCGGTCCCCTCATCCTATCCTGCCTGGGCGTCATGTCAGGCAACCCTTCGGGGCCCAACTTGGTCCAGCACTCATCAAAGAATTTCCTGTCAAGGTGTTTGGCACAAGAGTGCCAACAAATATTAGATAGAGTATGATAGAGTTAATTAATTATTATCACGTGAGAAACAAGTTGTAGACTCATTGCAAATACTATGACTATTGAACTGGACTGGTAGTGACCACGCCAGGTTGCTGGATTTCTACATGGGCTTCATGGAGGAGTGAGTTCCACAATCTGAAAACGAACAGCACATTGATGCGGCTGAGTCTCCGCATGACACCGAAGAATGGGGCATAGCCATCCATGGTGAGCCGTGGAAAGGCGATACTCTTCTCCTTGGAACAAGGGCGAATGGCGAACCGCCGGCTGCATTCCGCAGCATGAAGGGGTCGTGCAGGATTATGCAGGGAAATTGCAGCATGTTGCCGTTATCGAACCTAGCAAGCCCGATTTGCCAGGATAATGACCAGCTTCTGCCTTGACTGATCGAGCTTTGACAAAGGGGTGACGTTCTGATCATGGACTCTTTTTCTTGTCGGGAAAACCGCTTTCACTTACTGATCTTTGGTGAGGGTTGTTTGAACCCCCCTGGCAAAGGTAGCGGAGAAATATAGTATATATATTGCTCCTAGTAGCGATGCCCATTGCTCCTAGTAGCGTCCTTGCTCCTAGTAGCGATGCCCTGTGCTCCTAGTAGCGTTCCGCCAAACATATTTGATCATATTTGCTCTGGCTTTGTCTCACAGCGGGATTTTCGCGGCCACTCCTGGTCACATTTGCGGTCCATTCGCTGTAGAGTTCGGGCGAACTCAACCTGGTCAAAGAAATGGACGGTGCCACATGTCTGTGCTTGTCCTAATGTAAACATTAATGAACACGTCTAATATGTCATCTTTCATTGTCATCATGCTTCCACTTCCCAGTCATGCACGTTTCCATCAGCTTCTCCAGTTAGCTACGAAGCCAAGAGACATACTCAGCTATACTGACATGAAGTGCCACTTGGTCGATGGCCTCACTGACTCACTGACACTGATTTTCCATCTCCTTGCTCCCCCTTTTTGAGCACAGCTGGTTCACTAGGCTCACTACCGCTTCATCGCCATCCTTGGCAATTCGCTAGAACTCCTAGCCCCTTCATGTACTGATTTTGCAGTTTCAGCTAAGCTGCAAAGGCCGGGAACTGTGGCCGGCAAAACCTTTCACGAGGTCGGACGATCTGCGAATGCGACTGGATGTCAGGCATATTTTGGCCCCGAAATTCTTCCATTCGCAGCAAGGACGCTACTAGAAACAAAGGGCATCGCTTCTAGGAGCAAGGACGCTACTAGGGGCTCCTGGCATCGCTACTAGGAGCAAGGACGCTACTAGGAGCAAGATTCAATAAGACTTCTCATGATATCATCATGTCTCCACATAAGCAATTTGGCGCCGCAGAAAGACTTCAAATCTGTGAAGCAACCACTGCAACCCCCACCTCAACAATCATGATTGGATTTCTCAAACGCATATGCTGTCAAATGTTGGCATATGCATATGTACCCTTAGGGATTCAAAGCGGAACCACGCGGAACCCCAAAACATGCGCTTCGACTCTGCTTGGTGCGAAGCGTTGGCGACTTTTCAACTCCAAGCGACCAATAGTCGTGACCACAGTCCCGCTTGAAATAGTCCAAATTCCAAAATCGAGCATACCAATCACCTCGGCAATGATGTTGCTAACCTGCATTGGCTAATTTTTCAAGCTTCCAAATTCCAAACTGTTTGAAATTTTGAAAGCCAGGAAGCGTGGCTTCTCTAAAAGGACTGGCTCGCTTGGCATCCCTTGCAATGAGCGGAGGCGTGACACCTCTGTACCTGGTGAAACCATGTTTCAAACAGCGAGCTTGACAGGAGAATTTTATTGCCTTTTGGTGTTCAAACACTCATACTCATACTGCATACTCAAATATCATACGCCAGACCAGGGGCCACAAACGCTATGAGAACGACCATGACATCCTCTCGAAATTGTTGGACAAATCGAAATGATTGTGCAACACGCGAAGGAGAGGCCATTGGCGGCCAAGGTGCACTCAGCTACGCTGGTAAGGCGAGGATTCCTCAGATCTGTTTCATCCAGTTTGAAGTAGGCCAACACAGTTTCATGTGTTTCATCCAGTTTTCAGATCTGGTAAGGTGAAAAAGTGCTTGCAGCATGACAACACATGGCAAACACATTTGAGATCCTTTCCAACATTAACAGTGCAACATATCCAAGCATCCTGTACCAGTCCTCTCGCACGCTCTGCAAATATCGGCTGAACGCTGCCTGAGCAAACACAGCTCAAATGCAATACTGTTGCTGCTATTGGACCGGTGAACTAGCCATAGCGCAAGGCATTCTAATGCATTCTATGTGGTCTGTACCTGGTTCAGGGCTCCACCCACCGTATGCTATGAGTTGTAGGTTGTCGGCAAGTGACATATTCGATGGTTGGCTCATCGATCTTTCTCTTGGCAAGCTCGAGCCTCGTAGTCAGCATCTACTTGCGCGTGCATGTGTTCAAACAATATAAGACAATATAAGAATCCATCAGAAAAACTAGGATGAAACTAGACATTCTCAAAGTATCTTGGTCCAACACCTTAAGCGTGAAAGCAATGGACAAGTTTCAGCACCTGGTCGAGCACTCTCTCGCCTCGGCTTCGGGTGAAAAGCACCCGCAGTCCAACATTTGCAGAAATCCACCAACCAAAACTAACTTGATGAGCATGTACAGGATTGTATCTAAACCTATCCAAACGTTCTTTAAACAACTGATACTGATACATGGTGAAATCAGCCTACAGTATCCTACAAGATCGTTTTCGTGCAATTTTCGTAGGCTTGCTAAATTGCAGTCAAGATTCGGTTGCTTCTGGCCTTTTGGCTGCTGTCTCTGGGAATGGAGCCGGTTGCCCATGGGGCCCAAGGGGACAAAAAAGGGCCAACCATGGCCAAACTCTTGTTTATTTATTGACATGATTTCTATTGATTTCTTGATCCAATATGATCCAACACACCCTGGATGCAATATGATCCAAAGAAACGTCGCGTCGCCCCAAATCTCAAGACCAGCGGCCATTGCTTCCAAAGAAAGCCTCAAGGTCTTCTTCCGACCAAAAACGTGCTTCCTCAGGAACCTGTCGGAGTGCACAAAACTTGACATTGAACGGTGTAAGATGTTAGTTCACATGCCAATCCCAAAAACGAAGCCAATGAACTTCTTAAGCAAGTCTTTCAGCTTTTCCTTTGTCCGAGTGGGTTTGGTGTATACAGCTGCACAACAATAGCCACCTTGCCCGAAAAGGCCGGGAATCGTCGCTTGATGGAATAAATCTGATCACGCTCAAGAGGCAACGCCAGCAGATTCATCCTGAATCGCAGCTTTCGGAACTCGACCGAGTTCAATACATAAAGCGCCTTTTCTAAAGCCTGCTCCTACTTAAGATTTTTTTGGGAAACTTAAATTTTGACAGCGGAATTCCAACTTTGATCTTCGGGACAAGTGCCTGACTGTAGTCTTCCTCACGTTTGTTTTCCTAGCACGTTGCCCATGTTGCGTGCACAAAATGCGCACAGCTTCCACAAACAAGCTGCTCATAATGCTCAAAATCTCTGACCACTGGCCGCACCAGCCATGAAATTGGATCGTGCTTGAGAGAAATGGCCAGCTACGACGACACAAATTGCAGTTGAGCAGGAACGATGCACACAACTTCCTCCCCTCTCTCTGTTGTTGAACCCCTGCTGGGCCTACTTGCTTGCAATACTTAAAATTTAGGGACAGCCTGAGTTTCTTTAAGCTTTGGCCATTTAGATATCAAATGCCATTGCCATTGATATTATATATACTGTATAGTATATCTAATAAAATACTGTATGTAGGTTCACGTAACTCCTAGCAAGGTGTGACACGACAACGTGCACATATGCGTTAGTCTCTCAGCCACAATTGCAACGTGCAGCATTCCCGGATTCCCTCTCTGCGCCTGAGACTTATGCGTTGCTCTTCCTGCCGCTCCTGAAGGCAAGGTGTGCTCCGCCGAAGGCCAAAACCAAGACACACCTTTTATATCCCCGTTGCTACCGACTACTGAGGTTCACCCCCCCCTTTTCAAACAAATTGGTGTATAGTCTAAAATTACTGGCAAAACTTAAAGACCTTTATATAAACAGTGCAAAAAGAAAACCTCTTTCTGTCGTGACTGGATAATCTTACTGTGCAAAGAGTTCATCCGTGTCATCATGTGTCATCCATTTTATTTAAGACTCATTTTGGATACAGTAACCCTTAAACTAAATGAGTCAAATAAAATTGGTTTTCTGTGGTCGACCACACTGATTTTTGGCTAACCGGTAGCAACGGGGATCCTTTTATACTACTGTTACTATATCATGTAGACTGCTGATGAATACCCCCCAATATGGAAATGTAAAACCATTTTGGTAGGGGTGGTTACAGTATATATATATTGATCGACTGTCTACATGATTTGGCTCCTGGAACTCTTGCTCCACCTTCTTCCGCTCTTCCTCGCCTGAGGCTCCACGAACCGCGGTCCCGAGCTGGAGTCTGCAGTCTCTGAGTCCTCGGACGACTCTGCAGGAGCCTGTCGATGTGATCCGAAACTCATGTCCGTGCACTCCCTGAAATCTTATGGACGTGGATGGGATGGCTATGAAGGATGACCATTTTCCGAATACTAAATAAACAGGCTGGTGAACTCTGCTTCCATGTTAGTGACTCAGAGTGTAACTCCTATGAACTAAAACGTTGTCAATCGTTTTCAACCAGCCACGCAAACCAGATTGGTCGTCTGTGTTCAGGAATCTTGGCGTTTCTTGCAAGGTCTTGCTGTTTGGAAAAGAACGATGGGTGGGTGACAAGGTCTTCACACAGGGTCTCAACCTCATGCTGGGGCATGCATGGAGAAAATAGCCCGGGGTCGCCCCCATGCTGCCCCGTTCTGGAAGCTGTTGCGCTGAACATTCGGAGATCTGTGGCGTTTTTACACCAACAGCAGTTGGGCCATTGGTTTTGTATTGGAAATGCATCCAATAACCAACAAGAATTTCAGAAACTCAGATGGGACAAATTCTTGTCTCGTGTCTTCTCATTGGACATACATCCACGTGCCGCGTGTATGGGACCTCACTGACAGTTATACTCGTCCATTACAGTCCATCTGGAGGAAATATCGACATTGAAGCCTGGCCTAGCTGCTGGATGCTACTGGCATTGCAAAAGGACGGTCTCTGCTTTGATTCTTTTGCATATTGGTTTTGTAGGTTTCTATTCCTTTTGCGGGGGGGCACACCATGTCGCAGCAACAGGGAATCACAGCAAGTAGAACTCTTGACGATACCTATTGACAGCGGGGTTGTTGCCGGTGCCATAAGGTGGTTACAGTTGGACTCTGTGTTGCTCATGCATGCCATGTTGACCAACAATTAAGTTTGGCGTTCGGTCACTCTGCATTCCTCAAATCAAGTTGTCATGGGGCCTGATGCCCTTCGCGCTAGGGATTTATTGCCAAATGTGGTAAACATGAAATAATACGTAAGGCCGTGCGAAACCGTGCCTCCGTTCAATCAGCAACTCCTTCCATGAAGCCATTATCATGCCTGCGACTGAAAGCTTCACCACAAGCTTGAACACATCACGGGCAATAGCTACTAATCCAACTGCTCTTCGTTGCTACTCATCCAATGCATTTCATTTGTCAAAGATTCTCCAGGAGCTTGGCCAAGCAGCACGTACTGGTGCGGATCGGCCTTCCAACGTTGCTAGCACAGCCAATGGCACAGCCCGGCTGCAGCGTCCTGCCTCTGAGGCCAATCCCAATAGGCTTCCACGCATCTTCGAGTTCTGCCTCCGGTGTTCCTGTCGGGCACGCAAATTGCCGGTGAAAGTTGGAGGCAATACCAAGCAATGCCATGTAGAATATCTTATTCACATTGACTCGCTATCACTCAGGTGTATCTTCTCTCTCAGTGACCACTATCATTGGTCTCCAGAATTGCTGACTTATCTTTGCCAATAGAAGCGGCGCGGGCAAATACATGAGAACATCTATTGTCAAATGATGACTGTGATAATCGTGATAGAAACAGAATCATTTTACTCTGAATATAAAACAGAAACGCTTCGACAGCGATTTGTTGTGTCCTCCACCTCTCTCAACAAATCATCCTGCAGTGGGCCACGTCACATGTTTCACGCACTTTCAGCAGGGTGCCAGCTTGATTGCCTTGACTATAAGGAAAAAAGCGCTGCCAGTTTGAGCCTGCTCTTTCTGGAGTCTTTCCTGCCCATGTGCCAAACGCTTATTTGTGTAAACCAAGTTCAGACTTGGAACGGCAAAACTGCTTTGACAAATCATTTCTCCTTCTCGTTCTCCAATTCTTTAGCCCGCTTACCCACCTTCCAGCTTGTGATCAAAACACTAATATGCATATCTCAATGTACAATGGCTCCTGATCCTCGGGACAGTTCAAATAACTGTGCATCACACATCTAATAACAAGGGGGTAGTTCACGCATGGTTCAATAGGTTCTGAGCAACTTGTGGGTGCCTCCATGTGCCTCCCATTGCAGTCTTCGAGAAACAGTCACGTGACGGGTATCACTCACGACCTCAAAGCCCGCCACGCTAGTCAAAGTGGACCATGAACGGAAAACTCCTTGAAGGTAGCTCAAGCGCTGCTCAGTCTGGCGCAAAGGACAAGGCAAACTTCGGTATTCTTCTCTAGTTCCGGATGCATCTGCCACAGGGCTTGGATAATGCCCCTAAGTAATGAACGGCCGGACTGCGCGTGTGGAAAGGGAAGGATGACCACAAGTCACCTTGATCTTCTTGATGATGGTCACTAATGATTTGGAGAGGAAGTTCCAAAGAGAACATGCACTCAGACCATATAATATGCAACTATAATAAGTATGAAGCCATGCATACAATATCATCATCGCACAGCATAGGTACATGGGTGCAGGTGCTCCTAGGCATGAACACCTCAATCGCAGGGGGTATGGGCATGAGAGGTGAGGCACAAGTGCGGCGAAGGTGTGAAGGGCGTGAAGCGATTCTCACCGGCTATCCCCTCCCGCTGTTGCACCCATCCCTCTTTTCATAAATCAAACTCTTGCTGGTGAATGGTCATGTCTCGCCTGCTGGCGTTTTCGTTCCTCTTTCTCAGCCAGCACCTGACCACTTGGAGCTCACAAGGAAGGCAGCCCTTGAAATTGCTGAAATCCAAGGAGTTTTGAGCGTGTCAGGATGTGTCAGGTAATTAATTCGGGGATCTTGCACAATGGCAGCTGATGACAATTCAAGACTGACCTCGCTGTGCCACGCTTTGAAGCTCCCGTGCAACAGGCCATGGTTGCCCTGCGCAAGCAAAAGGGAAAACAGGTTCCGATGTGGCCAGAACCTGTTTAGACTCATTTCGCCTATGCGAAATACTATGACTGCTAGCACCAATCAGCTTGAACGAGAAAAAGCAAACCCTTAAGGCTAATGGACATTGAAAAATAGAAATTACATGAAATTACTATTGTTTTGATCATACTCAGTGAAAGCTTGACTTCCTCAACATAACGTCAACCATTTTGCCCTCTGATGGCCAACTGCTTGCTCACACCCCTTTTCCATGCGCTCTTGTGGCTCTGGATGTCGAAGAAGTGCTACAGCAGTCAAACCGCAACGGTCAAATCCTGAGAGGTCAATCGCAACAGGTCACGCATCAACACGAAACGCGCCACGCGTTTCTTTTTTCACATCTAAGCTGATGCCACATGTCGAATCCCGGACATATACTTTGGTGGGAGAGCCCAAGAGTCTAGGACATGTGCAACATACTGGTCAATGCTGCAACTGTACATTCTTGACATTGTTCGTCTGCAACTCCCAGGTGCCCTTGTGTCTGCGTTGCACGTATGGCTGCCATTTGGCTTCTCAATCATTGTGTGGTCATTGCCTGTTGAGGCATCTAGGTCATATGAGAGACTCATATCTTTGGCCTTCCTTTCTTTCCAGGCCTCTTTCAAAGTGAACTTCCCGGTGATCTTGCCAAAATCCTGGTGCCAAACCAGTAAGAAGAAACACGAAGTAAACTGAGCAACAACCCTTCGTCAACAGCGAATCGCACTTGACTTTGGCCTTCGAATGCGGGTGCTTGGAACCTTGGCTGCGCAGGAGTCCACGGGAGACCATGTATGACCAAGAGCTCCTTACAGTGATCAGTCTGTAGTATGTCTATGGTATGTCAGAATTTTTCAATTTCCTTGCATCCAACACTCCCAACATCTGCAAACATGTTGGACTTCTCTTTGTGCATGGATGACTGGGAGATGAACGAAGCTTCTAAATCCCGCCAAACTCGGCAACGGGTGCATGACGACCTTTTCAGCTTAGTGAAACGAGGTGGAAGGTGCCTTTGGCTGTCGCTCCTCCCGTATCACTGGTGGCAGTCCCCAGCCGGCAGCCAACCATGCCTCTTGTGGTATGTCTTCTGTTCTGTAACGAGCCTCTGGCCGCATTTGCACCTGTGGAGCCTCCAGAAAAATCAAGGTGCTCAAGAGGAACAGCAACACTGATAGGATCAAGGCCGCCAATGCGATTTGAAGCTTCCGCCGTTGATGGCGCACACACCTTGCAAGTTCACGTCGGTTGCACAAACGGGTCGCTGTGATGAGCGCTGGCGCTTTCTTTTCATCCTCTGACTCTGGTGAGTCCTCCTCCTCCAGCTCCTCTGCCAAGGCCCCTTTGCGGGCACGTGCCACAGGTCTTTGTGGAGTTATGTGTATCCGCAAGTCTTCAGGTGCGCTATCACTAGAGGAGCTTGTGTCATCATCAGACGACAACCCACCAACAGCTGCAGACTGAGGAGGTTGTGGTGGCATCGTAGCTGGAAAGCCATGGATTTCTTCTTTGCTCAGCCTGGCCAGAACTCTCGCTTGGAGTGAGGCCGAATCCATGGCGTTTTCAGTTATGTCAGTTGTATTCTTGCTTCTTGTTCTGGTCAAGACGTGTCCAACTCCAATTCATCAGGGGAATTGTGGGTACACTACTTAAGCATGGTTGGCATTTCTGTGTCTATCCATCACCCAACTAATCTTCGGTTCTCTTAATATCTTTGATTGGAAACTCATCTCCTCAGAACAACTCTTGAGCAAGCAAACGCAAAAACAGGTTGCAAAAGCCGCTGCTCATATCAACAAAAACCAGCCAACATAAATGAACATCAACTGTTCAACATTCCTTCATATCCTTGCCCTGGCCAGTGGACTGGTCAAAAGGAAGCACATCAGACCCTAAAAAAGCAGTAGATGTAGATGTAGCCATGCTTCTAGTTTGTGCATTGTTCCAGCAGTTCGACGCACACTCTAAGCCCCGTGCCACACTCACCTTGGCAAACTTCAAAGTCAAATCTATATACTCCTGACATCCAGCAGCGGAAGCGCGTGAAAGTGGCAACGGACGACTTTCGAAAGGAAATGACCAAACACTGCCTGCCCGCCTTGCCCGGGCTTGACCCGAGTTCCCCGAAGAAACCCGGCCTTTTATGACACTTGTGGGAATTACCGCTCCAAAGCGTGCACGCCTGGCTTCCACACCACAGGATCATCTCCTGACGTGTGATCCTTAACCTGGCCCAATTGTTCATGGCAGCATGTTGAAGCGATGTCACGAGCTCAAATGAGTCACAACCAAACATGAACATTCTAATGTCCTTGCTCCTAGTAGCGATGCCAGGAGCCCCTAGTAGCTTCTTGTTTCGCTATGCTTCCATATGCTTCCCGCCTTCAGCTGAACACCCAGCTGCTGCCGACCCAAGTCAAGGCCTTTGGGAAGCAAAAAGCTCTGGCTGATGTCCGCGCTCACGGGGCCGTCCACCGCAATGCGGAACTCCCCCACACCTGAGGCCTGGGTGACCTTAGTGACGATTTCATGCCCCAAAATGGATATATCTGTCCCCGAGCCGTTTTTCCTCACAAAATAGAAGCTTCACCTTTTCTTTCTTCATCTGTTCATGCATAAATATGGCCCAAGATCCCCCAAGAAGGTCTAAGGTTAGGGTAGGATACAGAGTGGACGAACTCCCTTCAGATCTGCTCAAACAGTTGACTGATGCGTTGACTTAAGCCCAACATCGAGAACAAAACCATCTGGTATCTAAACATTTGAAGCAGCTTTTGAAGGCATGTTCAGTGGCGGCTTGAGGCATGTCCAGGACGAGCTAAGCCTGTTGTGGTCGTAAACCTTTTGGCTGGGCAAAGACACGGTGTCGTTGTCCCCACCACCACCCATCGTGAGACAAGAAACCATTTTCTCCAAGAGGTGGGCGATGTGCCTCTTTGGGCCATGATGCATCTGCATCCTACCCTAAGGCTCCCCCCAGTCAAGAACTGAATTTCTTCCAGTTCTCAACCAGGGTCGGAAGTGATCACCTTCTTCTAAGATGCATCACCTCCACCTTACATCGCCCCTTCACTTATGCATTTCTTGCATCGTTCAAGAGTCTCTTGTACCTCATCACCTTCAAACACTTGGGTGCAGTGAATGGCAGATTCCCTCCAAGGCCATCCACAAGAGGTTGTCCACCGGCGAACATCATTGTCTGTACAGCTCGCCGCTGCCACCGTATGAATTTTACCTGACTGGTGATTAATTATAGCAACAGGTATCATTGCAGCTCTAATTTCCCTTCTCAGTTCTGCTCGACTTGGTCCTACCCATTCGGTTGGGCTGATCTTCTCAAGCTGACTCTTCAGCCATTCTTCCGTATCTTGCACTGCAGTTTCGACTTCTTCAACTCTTGCCAAGGTGGCATTTGCCATTTCACACAAGTTTGAGATATCCTGCAGTCTGAGGTCAGCACGTGGTGCTTCCGCCCAAGCGTCTTCCACATATTGCAGAGTGACATTCGACGAATGCCTTGCCATCCACTGTATTGCCGTTAAAGGCATGCCCTGCCGAGCTAAATCCTTAGCTCCTGACCTTCTGGCAAAGTGCCCCGTCACCCGATCGATCTCAATCTCCTTTGCTTCCTTCACGGAAGACTGCATCAGGGTGCATAGTTTCTTCACCTGCGAGATCATCTTGTCTTTCGCGACTGTTGCTTTCGGAGTTTTGACTTGTCCCACCAGCGGTATGCCCAAACCCTGAGCCTCGCTTTGCCTTCTCATGCCAACTCTTTTCAGTTGTAGGTTAAGAAGGTCCAGGCCCGTGTGATAAGGGCAGATCGAAGGATGGGTTTTTCCACAAGAGCAGGCTAATGCCCGCCAAGTGCCCTTTGCCGACGGATCATTCTTTTGCACTGACAAATGCAATCCTATAGTCATTTGCATCGTGTCAATCTTCACACCTTCTTCGTCGATGGTGAGACTGGCCAACTCAGTCTCTCTGAGTAGAAACTTGGTCGCCAGCACCCATATTCGCAACCCACCTGCAGGTTCATCGTCATCGATGGCTATCTCACTTGGCTCCTTGCCGTGTTTGACGGAAACTTTGCCCACCAATCGAGCTTCACTTCCTCAGCTCTAGTCGGCGGTCCTAAAGCTCTCTTTGCAGCTCGTTTCGCATCCGTCAATGCCATCTGTAGTTGATCGTTCCACTCATATCCTGCACGCACATGCCGAGATTTGGCCTCGTACACGTACGAGCAGGCTGCTCTATATCCACTGGCCCGTAGTATGGCAGTCACGTCATTGATCTTGGCCTCCGTGAGAGGGAGACTGTCCACACGCAAACGACTACAGACTTTGTCCCATAGCCCGAACAACGAGTCCTTTGTGTCAATGGTCGTGGGTGCATACTTCAGGCTGCTAAACTGACGTAGTGCCAGTCTTCTTTCTTCCGCGTCTTCCGCTATCCGACAAGCCAACTCTGCTGACCCTCTCTTGCACAGCGTCTCAGGCTGCCAGGGTCCATTCTTTCTTCTTCTCTTCAGTACTTCACCTGCTGCTGTGACAAGCACTTCTTTATCCAGACACGGTTGAGGTGTCTGTGGCACAGGCGTACCAGGACACGGCGTTCTCGAACCCGTCATGGGAGTAGGTGTGCGAGGACATGCTGCCCTACCCCCACCCTTTGCCACCAACCTCTTTCACTCCAGCCCAATGCCCTCCTTGCAGCTACAACCGCAGGAGGTACTTCATCGATCAAGTATCCTTCATAAGAGAAGGGTACTACAAGTGGTCCCCTGGTTTGCTTATGCATTGAGCCGATGCCTAAAGTCACCAACATGTGCAAGAAACATCTGAATCCAACACAAGTAAGGAGCCTAGGCATCAACACCAAATCCTATCGATTCCAGTTCACAACTTAGGCTACGCTCAATATGAGCAAGGCTACGCGGCATGCAAAACAACACCGTTACACAGAAACAACTTGCCCCACAGTCACACTGTTCTAGTGCAACCATGAGGCGCTGCTCCCTTCACCCACATAACGGCGTTGCAGCGCGCGTAACCTGAGGACCGGACTGTAGAGCTTGAGGGTAAGGCCTCGCCACGCGATTCGAACAAACCGAAGCATGACAGAGATCCTACCCAAAGCATGCAAGAAACAGACTGCACAATGGTTTCAGTACAATCTGAGACCTGTTTTGGACTCACGGCCAAGCTCTGAAGTTATGCTTCTGTCTTGCGGGTGCATCGACCCAGGCTGCATTTCGAAGTTGCCACGGCAGCTCCATGTTTGATGAAGCGTCCATTCGACTGAGCTTGTCGGCAATGTCATTTTCGATGCCTGCCACATGCTCAGCCATCAGTGGTAGCAATTCCATCAATTCAACCTGGATCGAAATCTCTGCAGCCAGTTGGCTTAAGATTGGTGACTTTGCTCTGTATTCAGCTGCTGCTCTGAGTGCCGCAGTGTTGTCAGTGCGAATCAGCACCTGCGGTGTGATGGACTGCTCCCTGAGCCATGGTGCAAAGGCCTCGAGAGACATCCAAATTGTGAGCAACCCCCATTCGTTTTGGAACGACGGGTCGCCGACTTCCGAGTTCATCAGCTCCCTGTCCAGTGCAGTGACTTCAGTGTGCCAGTATGCTATGTACATCTGGCCCACTCGGAGAAAGCCTCCCATGCCAGCTGGACAAGCATCCGTTTGGATCAACACCCGGGGTGCATCCGGTCGCCATTTGAATGTCCTGCGAAGTCCAGGTCTCTGCGCATCAATTTCCTGCACCATTGCATTTAGCCACCTCAAGGCATTTGCAACCTGTTTGACAAACACAAGGCCTTTCCTCTCCCGGGCACGAACTCGGATAGGCTCTGGGCGTTGGTGCTGTGTAGCTGCGGCATACAGCATGGCCAACCAAGGTCGTGAAGACTTCAGTATGCTTGATGCCCAACCAAGCACACCAGTGGCATGTTGGAGCAATCGCAACGGCAACATGCCTTTGTAGGTAAGGAGCTCCTCAAAGGTGTCTTGGAGCTTTTTCCTCTTGTTTTCAGCCATTCTGACGGTGACATCTTCATTCGCCCGTCCCGACAGGCTAACCTCATATCCGATCCAAGGAACCATGTCTCCATGACAACCTTTGTGCCATGCTATATCCAGCCCAAGAGCTTGCCACACCAAGGTACACATGCAGAAACTCCTCATGCGAGCTTTTGCCGTGGGGCCCAAAACAGCCATCAACGGGTCATCCACATAGCATGCAATTGCTGCCTCATTGCTATGCATTACCGCTTGTGCCACTCTCATCGCCGCCGAAGCAACGCGAGCCCACAACAGTGGTCCAGCGGCTAGCCCGAAGACAACACACTTGCTGACATGGTAATCGCCGCGGCCACTCTTGAAGACTACATATCTTCTCTCCGAGGCACGTAGTGGGCACATGTAGAAGGCATTGGAGAAGTCTGTGGAGAACAACTCAAACTTGTAGTCTCTTTCAACTATCTCTCTTCTTTTGCTGGCTACGCGATGCACTGACTTGACGAAGTCGGTCACCTTGGGGAGAATGACCCGTTCCCTGACGGTTGCCAGGCCGTTGACTCCACTTTTCCTGCAATCCACGACAAGTCGATGCTTTAGTTCTCCACTCTCTTTGAGCTTTGTGATGCACGCCAGCTTTGTCATCACAGCATCATCTCCGAACTTTTCTACTACCTGACTCCATGACTCAAACACTTCTGTTCTCCCTGCCTTCCGCATCTCTTCTAGCAGATCCTCTGCCGACTGTCCAGCTTCTTCAAAGCTGACATAGTTATTCAACTTGCCCTCGAAGTCACCTTGCAGCATGCCTTCAAAGTCGTGACGCTTCCACCGCAGCTGAGTCTGTAGTGGTGGCAGGGAATATTCCTGTGTGTGTAATCGCTTCTTTGATTCCCAACGGAAAACCATTTGTCATCCACTCAGGTAGCGTGCTTTTGTCTGCATCATCCGCCTCCTCAAGAATCGCACGCCATAGGTCTGCCTGTAGTCCTTTGCTATCCTCCTGCGCCTTGAAGACTGTGCATAAGGCTCCTCTGACTTCTCTCACCCATTCCATACTGGTGCCTTTCTTCATGTCAGATGCCAATGCATCTATCTCCTCTTCTCTCATGTGCTGTTCTAGCACCTGCCTGATTTTCATACCTGTCTGTCTGAGTCTCAAATTCTTTGAGACCGCGGACTGTGGGTTTCTCAGTCCTCCAACTGCTTTCTTGTTCTCTTCCTCTCTTGTCTCCTTGAGCGTCAGTGCAATGCTCTTCTGGTCATGGGAGATCGACTTCACTGTCGTGGCCCTGACCAACACATTCTTCCATTTGCCAACCACCTTGAAGCTCCTCTCATCCATCCATTTCTGGCCCAACCGAGATTTGCGCCAGCAAACGAAGGCTTTGCTCCAAGCGAGGCATAGGCCACAAGGGTATTCTGCAGCCAAACTGGTTCTCCATATCCATCTTTCGGTGATGTAGTCCCAAGCCTTGCCACACAGTGATGTGGCATGCAAGTGATCACGTACTTCGTGACATAGTCTACGAACCAATTTCATCCACGTTGCACCTGTCAGGATACCTGTGGGTTTGACCGAAGAAGCCCCGTAGGCGCACTGATGCAAACATATGAGTTCCACACCGCGAATCTTCATGAGCTTTTGCATCGACTTCAACAGCCACAGATATGACATCCAGGGATTCTCGATGGCAAACGTTGATCCGCGTTTGTGCAGCATCAGGCAAAGCAACACCATTCTTCTGACCATTTCGTTTGATTCTTCTGCATCCGGATGGCCATAGCCTTCTGGTCGTGCTTCATCTCGCAAGATCTTCACACTCCCAAATCTATCACTCCTCCTAGCCATTGACATCGTTCTGCATGCCGGTGCGAAGTGAGCATGATCTAATTCATTTTCACAAAGGATACAAGCCGTGTTGTAGTCCTCCTCTGCGAGTATGTTCCACTCTCCAGCGTATCCATCCAAAGTAGCACGGACCTCAGTGAAGTCCTTGCCCACTAACTTCATTGCTTCCGAAAAGCCTCCCATACCCGCAAAGAACCCTGCGAAGACAAACTTTCGTGTCTTTTGCTCATCAGCTAAATTCTTTGAAACTTCTTCAAATTCTTCTTTGCACGCAACCTCCTCTGGTGGCAAGATCACCTTTTCACCTGACAAGTCTGCATGCAGGTCATGCACATGCATCATCCCTTCTTCTTCTCACTTGCCTTTGCCGTCACCCTTCTTCGTGCTCTTCTTCTGACACTGCACGTTCGGGTGTTGGCCCAAGCAAACCTGACACACATGGGCTCGCTGATCAGCACAGGGTTCACTGCAGGCTCCTGGCTGACCCTTAGCGAACTTGTAGCAAATCTGGTCGCCGTCGCGGTCCGTCACGAAGAACTGTCCGTACTTGCGGGGGTGTTGCATCTTGCCTTTCTCAAACGACTTTCCCCCTCCCGGACCACGCCAGCTGGATGACTCATAATTGCTCTTGTGCCAGCTCTGTATGTCCTGCATCTGCTGGTACTTCTTCCAATCCTCCTCACGTTTCTCTTTGTCACGACGTCTTTTCTTGGCTGCCTTTGACTCACCTTCACCATGTGGCTTGTCTGAGCCTTTGAGCTTTCCTCCCATTGCATCCTTTGCCGCTTCTGAGATGTCACTGAGCTCGGCGTCCATCTTGCTCATCCTGCGGCCGCCTCCTCCCCTGGCTATGAAGTTCTGTGCTGGGATCTGTACTTCTTGACTCCAGTATGCCTGATCACGAGCCACGTAGGTGAAGACGCCAATCCATGGTTGGTCTGCAGCAAAACTCAGATTCATAGGCAACCTTCCCTCAGCCGCTGCCCTAGTCAGGTTGCGACGAGTTCTCTCGAGGTGATCACTTCTGCAACGGTCCTCAGCCTGCATGAGAAGGTGCCAACACTCTGGATATTGCCTGTTCAAATTTGCGATGTTCCGGCAGTACTCATCAAGTGCAGCCCATGTCATAACTGCTTTGCGATCACCTCCAGGATGCACAGGGTCATGCTTCATCATGAGGAGGATGGTCCTGTACACGTCCCAGCATGAGCTCCAGGCCTCAAAGCTCGGTGGTCCAGGTACTTCACTTTGTTTCCATGAACCGTCCTCCTGAAGCATGAACCCCTTGGCCTTCATGTGTTTCTGGGTCCTCCTGGCGTACGGGGTTAGCACCGAGAAGTCTGCATAGGGGGCTGAACCCCTGGTCACCACCTTGTTGATCATCACAGTAAGTTGCTCAATCGATGGCTCTGCTTCTTTGGGAGGATCAGCCCCCATGATGTCTCTGTACGTGCGGTAGGCCTCATCCACATCTATCTTTGAAATGACCTCCGACTCTGTGTCATCGAGTTGATCAGCGATCTGAGAGACCTTGATCTTTTGGATGCCCAAGGCTTTGGCCGTCACACCTGCACCTACAGGAAGAGGGGTCAAATTTGCACCAGTAGCTGTAGCTGGCCCCACAGCATTGATGGCATTGAGAGCACCTGGGGCCAAGATGTCAATGTCTTCCATGCCATAGGTCTGACGTGCAATCCGCCAGATCAGGGCTATCTGAACAGTCTCAACCATGGTCAACTCACGCATCTCAGGAGGATCCACAGGATTGCCATCGCCACCCAACCTAGGAAGTTGCATCGTGGCTAAAGCTTCCGCAATCCCATCAGGAGGGGCTTGACTCAACAGCCGGAGGTTCGGCCAATTGCCCAAAGCGAGATTCACCTGTCTCCAAGTGACGGGTTCCAAGCCTGTGAAGCGCACAACAGCGGCCAAGTCATTCAAGCCGGCTAACTCAACGGCCGTGGGCAGGGCACTGGCTGCCATAGCGAGGGTGACGCCAGCGACAGACCGCTTTCGTCTTGACTCCACAAGCCTGAAATTCAGGGCAGAGGGTGTACAACCCACGGAGATACCACCCCAAGCCACCACCAAGAACGATCCCGACGGCCAGGATCGTCAGGAGGAGAATCTCAAACTCCTCCAGCATGTTGGAAGAGTCTTGAGCCAAAATGGCACGAGGGCCATTCAACTCTTAACGAGACTCGTGAACCACCTTCAGCACTTTCCCTTTATCTTTCCTACGCAACTAGTTGCTCCATAGAATGACAAGTTAGGTGTAAGGCTTATGTCAGAATCCGGTGTGAATGCCGCTTCCTTTTATCAAAGGAAGGAACTGCAAGCCACACCTGTGTGATTCTAGGGCGGTTGAACACTCGTAGACTTATGTACTCAGTAGACACAAAGCTCTTCTGAAATCTTCTGAAAAGGACGTGCCCAAAAAAGCAACAAAAACAACATTTGAATCAGCAACCGTTGAGTTTTAGTCATCCAAGGTGCATTAATGTCACACAGCATCTGCACAGTGTCACCCTTTGACACTGCGGTTGGCGTTGCCTGGGAACCCGGAAGGGTGAATACCCCAAATCCCCAGTGTGAGACATTTTGAGGGCCCAAACTGACACTTTGAATGTCTCTCTTTGCCTCCCGGCCTTGGCATCTACCAAGTGCACGCTTGCATTGTCTGGTCCAGCTTCACAAGCGGTAATCATCTGGCGATGTGACACGAGTTCTTGCAAGATCTCACCTATTGTAGACAAGTCGATTGATAAAACCCCCATGTGGGTTATACAACCTCTTCATTAAGGGGATTTTGTAAAAAACTCGTCCCCACAAGTGCAGCATCTCATGCGATAAAACAGCCAAAGCAGCTTCCTGGATAAAACAGCTAAAACGGCTTGCCTGAAGATGTCTAAGCGGTATTTTCTCTACGTCCGGCCTCGCAAAAATAGATGGGGTCAAGATCCGTGTGGTTCAATGCGGCCATGAAGGCCTGAGGGCGGACGTTGACCAATCAACTTTGACAATGATGAAGCAGTACAACTCCACCAAGCTCCAAACTCTGCAGGGGAGTGCATATGAAAAACTATGACATCCATGTAAGCTCATTGACTCATAAGCATGCCATTCATGTACAGTATTTATACTGTATTAGCTACGTAGGGAAGACCGTAAGAACCGCATCCCGCGTCGAAATCGGCCTTGATCCCAACCAAATCACAAGCGAGGTTGCAAGCCTAAGACATCAGCTTGACCCAGCTGCTCTTTGTCCCAGTACAAGTACTTGCGTCGGCGATGCAAAGAAATCTTGTGTCAAAGCAGTGTCTCCCAAACTGCTGCGTCTCCGGCCGTTTGCTCAGCTTTGTTGGTCAGATTGCTGCAAAGCTTGGAGCAGCTTGAGACCACGCCTGCATTCCTGAGCAGTTTTGGCTATCCAAAGTCGTGCACACTCTGATGGTTTGCAATCAATGGTCGAAATTATGCTGCTTCTAGATTCCAGGGCTTTGCGGTGCAAGCAAGCGGCAATAAATAGTTTAGCAACCTTGGACAGCAAAGTTTCTGTCAGCAATGAACTGTCCACAACATACTGGACCATACCTGATCTATGCTAATTGCTAATTACTGCATGGTGATGTAGTGTCGACAGCCAAGAAGCGTGTTGATGCCCTGGGACCCCAACCTGGGACAAGATGTGAAGGCCACGTGATGTGTTCCACGTGATGTGTTCAATCCGCCCTTGATAGCCACCCTCGCTAGCAAAATATTTTTATATATGCCATGTTAATTTGCCATCAGAACCCTTCTTTAACCCGTTTTGCCTGATCCTTTGATGCTGCTATATAGTTGCCAGCTTATTTATTTGACTGGTCTCGGTTTTTTTGGCCTGGCGCATGCCCCCAAAAGAAGCTGGCTCCAGGGCACTGCACGCAAGGGGAGCACAAAGAGTGAGGCAACTGAGGCTCAAGGCCTCTGCGTCAACAGCTTTGAAACACGGCAAAGTCTCCAAATGAGGGGAAAATCTTGTGAAGTGATCATCTAAATGATTCAATCAATATGTGAAAAAGCGTCATGACATGACTCACATTGCAATCACTCACGTGTCGAGGCCCGGACTTTCCAGCCACGACGCTTGCACGTGGCCAGCCGCAACGGCAAAAGCAGCAATTGCAGCAACCCGCATGGCGGTTGAATGTGCTGTAGCAGATTCAGAGAGGATTTCTGCTGAGCCAGCGAGCCAACCAAGAAACACATCTTAGTGACCTGGTGGCCAAGATGTGTTTAAGCACTGCTCATTCAACCCGAGGGGTACTCAATCAATTACTAAAACACCAAAAAGACTTGGACCCAGCCTGACATCACAATCTTACAAGGCCGGCCTCTGACGCCAGCATAGCGAAGCGCCTTTGAAATTGGCTGCGGCGTTCTTTTTCACCTGAGTCTTGCCGACATGAGATTGGTGCTTGTTCAGAAACAACATGGGCAGGGTTAGGTTTTTGAGGCCCAAATCAGTCTGGCGGAATGCTGACGCCTTCCATCTAGAGCAATTCTTGTTTGTTTTCCACACTAGCGTCAAGCTAGGATTCTCCAGTTTGATTGATTGGGGCCGGGTGTGCAGGCTGGCGATGGCTGGCGGGGCTCCGGTGTCCCGTATTTAAAATATTAAATGCGTTGTTGGTGATGGTGCCTCCTTCAGTGCACATGATGGTCAGTGTTCGGGTCATGCTAAGTGGCTTGGCCAGCAAATGCGTATTACCTCGTTTTACTGTATTTATATATATATATGTAATTCTGAAATTATTGTTTGCTATCAGGGTTGGTCGTGAGTTGTATTCTTGTTGGTTTCGTTTCGTTGTACTGGTCATGTGACCGCCAGCCAGCCCAGAATTTCCACCAGTACTCAGGGCAAACCACATAAAACTTAACGCAGCCATGGCAAACTGGTAAATGATGAGGGAAAGCTCACACAAACTTCAGTAGTTCCACTGTTTGAGTCATTGAGTAGTTCCCTTGAGTAATTCATACCTGAGGGATCTGCGCTCTTCTGCTCGCACATGTGCGATCCTAACAGCCTCAGCGTCCAAGCGCAATGCAAAACATGGCATGACATGCTGGGCGTGAGAAACATGCTGGGCCGGGCCATGTTTCACTCCGTTCCGAAGTCTAGTCTCGTCTCAGGGCTGAAGTCACACTCTACGAGACATGATGCCAATTGCACTCATCTATTTTTGATCACCTGGTTTCCATCTCTCCTGATCCTCTGGTCCTCTAATCTCAAGCCATTTCTGCTTTATCATCTTGCAACTCTTTTGCTTCACCACTGAAATCTCATTATTGCGCAAACGGCCCTTGGCTAGCAAGACTGCGTGAATTTTCCACGATATCCCTCAACTGTGGAAAGTAAGCACCCGGGCATTCTCAGCACGAGCCTCAATCATACAGTACTGCCAAGCTCGGAGGATCACCTCGCGTTGGAAATGCAAAGCAGTGAGTAGTTCAAGCTTGGCCATTGTGAAGGGTGAATCTTGCGCATGGAGTGGCTATAGATGGCTATAGAGTCGTGAAGCATACTTTGACATCCGAATAATGTAGATTCTTGAAACGCCCGGGTGTTCGATCCAAATGGTTTTTTTTAGTGATCAAGCGTCTCACTTGCACCTGTTATAAACACACAATAACAATACAGTGTTGGCTCCTGAAGACTGGGCCCCTGAGGTGAACCAAAAAGTGAGTTTGTGAGGGTTGCAACGGCTTCACAAATCACAAAGGGCTTGAAGAGCGGATCCGAAACTTCAGATTAAGAATCAACTCGTAAAATTTGCTTGAGAGTTGTGCGATATCTTTCCGCTTCTTGTCTTCGCACTTGGTGCGTCATTCGGCTCAACACCCGCCCTAAACTCACTGGAGAGAGGGCTACACGGCTACTTTGAACTGGAATATCAGAGTCCTTTATGGCTTCCATCTCATTCTTTCGAATCACTGGAGCAACCAGTTTCACCTCGTGCATCCAACAAGAATCGAGTCTTTGCGGAAAGGAACCCAATGACATTGCTTAGCACACATGTGTGCAAATGTCAGCTTCCAAGTGGACTCAGACTCTTTGCCTTCATGGCATATGGATCCATCTTCTTGGGGTCGGCCGTCAATGCTAATGCCTTGGAAGGACAAAGCTGAGGAAAGGGGCCAAACACCTTGCCGTGTGTGGATGAAATGGACGCTCTCCCTAAAAGAAAATGCTGTAATAGCTGAACACATTCTTTTGGCCAAGACCCAGTCTGCTGAGGCAATGCGCTGCCTTTTTTCTTCCTTTGCACAAAAGCCAGGCCGTCAAGCGAAGCACGAACATGTCGAATTATTGTCGCTGAACTAATTGGTGGATTAAACAAGTCCATGAAACTTCTTCCGTGAGAACAAGGAGTCTCACCAGCGGTGCTCCCATCAAGATTCCCCGATACTGGTAACAAATGAAACAAATAAAACATATCGAATTGAACTGCAAATCATTAAAAAAGCAGTGTAATTCTAATTCATACAGCTAATCTTGGTTGCTTGGAAAAAATACTTTCATCATGTCACTGGGCGCTGGCTCAACTGGGCCTTTGCTTTTCACCAATGGGTTGTGGAAACATACTTTAGAGACTGCTGTGGAAAGAAAAGTGACTACTGGGTTATGTCTTTGCAGCACATGTGACTTAAATTTGAAATACAGTGTTTTCTTTTTAAATCTTATGAATAATATATATATATCCTTTTGAAAACGTGTTTTGATATGTTTTAATTTGCTTCAGTGTTTTGCTATGATGTGTAACTGTGTAATGTTTTCTATATAATCTATTTCAATGTTTGCAAATGTTTCATTATAAAACCATCTGCAAACTGCAGAGCTGATCAGCTATCCAATGTGTGGGTACCCACGCATGATTGATGAAACTGCTCTGTCCTTCGCCAAGCGCATGTGTTCTCGGCGCATTTCCTCTGCCTTCTTCTCCTGCGAAGATCAAATCCGTCTGAGCTCGAAACACCCATGTACCCACCAGCACACCAAAACCTCCACTTCCAGATTTGTGTCCTCATGTCGACTATCTATCAACCTTCGCCAAGCAAAGAAGATGGCCTCAACGGGGCTCTGCCGAAGCGCGAATGATGACCCCTGTCTGGAAAACGGGACCAACAACCTGTGTAGTGCAAGAATGCGCACTTTCCAGTGGACAACCTTGAATCAAGCACGTCACATAAGCACACCTCTGCAAGAATCCTGGATTAACGGGCAATCACTGGTGTGGGAAGTCTCACCACCAATCTTACAACCACAAATAGTGGATACTATATGGTGGCTACCCATCCTGTCTCTTAAACTTTTTTCTTGTAGAAACAAAGTGAATCGTCCCCATGGCGTCAAACTGAATCCGGGATCTGGGTGCGGTCACTGGCATGGCTGTTTTTGGAAAGTCGCTTGCCCACTGCATCACGGTCTTCCGAACCTGCGAGACTGTAGCCGTAGCATCCACATGTTCCAAGGTTGAAAAGAAGAACATCTGCACAGTGCCCTTATGTAGAATGTTGCTTCATGACCCTCCTTTCTTGATCGTAAAAACATGTAGATGTCTTATTGACAAGCACTCTACATTACTGACTTTACGAAGGATGATGGTCACTACCTCTCAATGTCAAACAGAGTCAGTGCCAGGCGTGCCTGCTCCTCTTTGAGCTTTTTCCTTTCGATGTAACATATGCCAGTGCTGTCAGAGAAAGGATGCTAAACAAAACAATCATGAATCAACTGCTCTTATGACTCTTGTGGGTTAGCCTCTACCTGTACAGGGACGTCAATTCAGGCTGTGCTGCCTATATTTCCACATGCAAATGGAGAAACCCCATCGAACACTCACATCATGTTCTGGCTTGCTTCAGCACATTGATCAATGCAACCAAGTGACTTCTCTTTCTCAAAGCGGCCTTGCTTTGTTATCCGCCTCCAAGACTCAAGAGCCTCAGTCTTCAGATGAATCAACTTGCGAGACCCGAGCAATGCCAACCGACGTCTCTCAGCATGGAGGCATAAAAGCCTTCTTATTGGTGATCTATAAGGGGTATTTTGGGTCCGATGGCCTCCAACCTAGAAGCACTGGCCTCCAACTTACTAGCGATGTATAAGGGTTATTTTCTGTCCGTCCAAAAAAGGCAAAGGATAGTACACACTCTTGATGTTGCGACACACGCTGGGCTTCCTTGCGACACGCGCTTCTTGTGCGATGGTGGCATGGGCAAGGCCTCCCAACAAACCGTAGGAGGGCTTGAACAATAATATAAGGGAGTATGTGAATCGGAACTAGGTCCTAACTAGGTATATCATGATATATCTATGACATCACATATTCAATATATTCACAAGGATCTTCTGGTGAGCTATCATGCATCTGATTGATTCCAGAATGGCTGCGCTGCAAGTTATGTTCTGGTGGTCTCGCCGGCTGGCCTCCTACTATGCCGTTGATCTTGGACCTTGGTCTCTTCAAACTCTTCAGTGATACCAAAGCACACTCATGCATATACAGCTCTTTGAAACAACCCGCTAGCTGCAGCCAGGGCTAAAGTTGTTGTGTCGAGATTCCAGTCTGCAGCTCTTTTCCTTCCAGAAATTCCATGACATTTTTGGCCCTCTCGGGTCGCATCATGCCGACATCTTAACACCTTCATTTCGGGTGAATCTTATCTTATGTTGACGTCTCACAGTTGACCAATGCCGATTCTTAACCCAGATCAACCCAGTATATAAACATAACCATTTCATGACTTTACCTCTTAGGGGTGACAGGGGTGAGAGGTGAAATGGATTTCTAGCCGATGGTGTTCCTGCTTAATTCAACGGACCACCCCGTGTACAGGACAAGCGCCCTGCTGTAGTGCTGCACGGGACCTGCCAGCACAAGCGGCATCAAGCGCCATGTCAATTTTCCAAACCGGGCCCCTTCTGCGCAAAATCCTTGACTGCACTTCTACTCTGGATGAAACTCAAGAAGTTCTGTTAAACGCATGTTTGCTCCTAGTGTTGTTGCCCTTGGTAACTAGTAGCGTCCTTGCTCCTAGTAGTAAGGCCAGGAGCCAGTAGTAGCGTCCTTGCTCCCAGTAGTAAGGCCAGGAGCCTCTAGTAGCGTCCTTGCTCCTCCTTGTGTTGCAAACATTGGATGATGCTTTTCCTTGAGAACGGTCTGCTCTTTCTGGCTCGCTCCCTCTCAATGCACTCTCTGCCCTGCGAGCACTTCTGCCGCATAGGGATGAAGACTTGTGCACTGGTGGCTGCGACCCCGCCAGCATTGCCCGTTCCTGTCACATGCAAACAGAAGCGATGCGAAGGCTAGGCAAATCACAGCTTCAGCCCCGTCCCCTTTTTCTTTTTAAGAATAAATCTTTGTCGCCCCTCACAACACCTGCCGCCCCTTTGCAAAAATGCTGTCTAGTTTCGTCTCTGTTCCTCCCTTCTGAAAAACAATTTAGCTCCAAAGCTCTCGCAAAAACTAATGACCGCCTTTACCATCTCATGATGAGAAGAAACTGCATACGATTCCAATAGCGTCTTTCTTCAACGACTGGGAAACTACACACTGCTTGATTGTGCAGTGTTCCCCAATGGACAAAGGGGTGATGTCTTGTCATGTCATTCTATGAGCATACGCAGTGCGCAGGCTGTGCAAATCATAAGCCTCGGTCACCACATTAAAACACCATAAACAATTGCAGTCATGAGGCCGCATGAATTGCCAAACGCTGCAGTATTCGTCATCACAGCAATTCTTGTGGCAGGTTTTTGAAGAAGTTCCATTAGGATCCTTGGAATTCACCATTCGCTCTACACATCCTTCTGAGAAATGCATTCACCATGATCTGTTCGTTTCGGCTCATGGCTTCAAAAAGGATTGCAAATCTGGCAGTCAACACGGCGCTAGCCATACGACTGCACAATGATACCCTTCCCTCATGGAAATACAGCTCATCCATCATGCACTCTTCTCAACGAAACACCAAGGCAAAATTGAAGCTAGCGCTCTTTCACTCTGATTGAGCCACCCACCTCTCCAAATCTTTAGATGTGGTGCTCCACACAAGTCCCTGTAAAAATTCATTTCAGTGTGGAACGTGGGAACCAGGGCTGTTCTGCTAGAAAAGCACACCTCCAAAAGTCAAGCTTCATGGCTGAGTCCAAAGCAAACTACATCCTCCAGATCTTCCGTGGCCGTGCAGTTGGGTGCGGGGAAAAGCTCGTGACGCAGGCCACAGTACGCATCGTGCTGAGGGATGTCGCTGTTCCTGGGCTGTTCCGAGGGCCCAACGCCCTGGGAATGTCTGGAAATGGTGGGATCCCTGCATCAATATCATATCACGTGCTTCAGCTGGAGCCGTGCTTTCCATTAGTCATTAGTTTTGGTTCCCCACTTCCAGGTACAGCCTATGAGCATTCAAATAATAACTTTAAAAACGTATGCTGCTGGTTGCTGCTGCTGGTTGCTGGTTGCTGCTGCTTGCTGCTGCTGGCTGCTGGCTGCTGGCTGCTGGCTGGCTGCTGGCTGCTGGCTGCTGCTGGCTGCTGGTTGCTGGTTGCTGGTTGCTGGTTGCTGCTGCTGCTGCTGCCACTGGTGCCACTGCTGCTGCTTTGTGCTTTGCTGTGCTGCAACTGCTGCTTTGCTGTTGCTGCTGCTGCTGCTGCCGCCGCCGCCGCCGCTGCTGCTGCTGGTTGCTGCTGCTGCTGCTGCTGCTGGTTGCTGGTTGCTGCTGCTGCTGCTGCTGGTTGCTGCTGCTGCTGGTTGCTGCTGCTGCTGGTTGCTGCTCCTGCTGGTTGCTGCTGCTGTTTGGCTGTTGCTGTTGCTGCTGCTACTTCTTCCTGGTTTCTGCTGTTGCTTGAATCCTGAAGCTTTTTCAATTTCGTCTGCGCAACCCCCCAAAAACTGAACCAAAACCAAGGGGTGTGGAGGCCAAACTTGTGTGAGCTTTGCTGCTGCTGCAGTCGTTGCTGCTGCCACCGCTGCTGCTTTCTACTTTGCTGTGCTTCAACTGCTGCTTTGATGTTGCTGCTTGTGCTGCCGCCGCCGCCGCCGCTGCTGCTGCTCGTTTGCTGCTGCTGGTGCTGGTGCTACCTTTTTACTTTGCTGCTGCTGGTTCCTGGTTGCTGCTGCTGCTTTGCTGCTGCTGCTGCTGGCCGCTTGCTTCTGCTCGGATCACTACCAAATTCTCCGCGGCGCAGGGTGGAGTCGAATGGGGGGGGGCGGCCCCCCCCTGACATTTAAAACCAACTCTTAAACGACCGAAATCAAGCGCCGGAGCACTTCACCACCCCCAATACATCATTGCTAAAGCAAAGACAACTCAGGTAGCGTAACCGCTACCTTTCGTGATAAAGAAAATACACATTCACCAGCTGCATTTTTAAACATACACTTTTGACGTATGTTAATACATTTTTGACTTATGTGTTTTCAAAAATGCAACCAAAAATGCAAAACTGCAAGCAATATTCACGTAAATTGCCACTTGATACGCATTGATATGGATGGGATGGGAAGCTGGCCCCCTTGTCTTTGGAGCAGCCTCTCGTGGTTGTCGGGTAAGTTGTCAAAAAATTTGCCGGTGGGTTTTGCCAATTCGCAATTCGAAACCAAAAATTTGCACTTTTAAAAACGTACCTAAAGATACGACTCTTTTTTCGCATTTTCCAAAAATACCAAAAATACATCGATTTTGGTATTTTCAAAAAACAAACAATACAACGCTGAATTTACATTCTAACAAAGCCAAAAATACAAAAAGTACAAATTACACAAAACAAAAAGAATACATAATACATACAAGAATACAAAAAAGAGAGTCATCCTATCCAGGTCCTTATGCAAATGAGTGCAGGTCCTGCAAGTCCTGATGCAAATGGGCTCAAGTTGAGGCATCCATCCAATATCATCCAGCCCAATACCATCCAACACAACCCATACCATCTAGCAGACTATGAACCCACAGATGTCCACATCTCTCCAAGTAGTTTTTCTCACTACTGTCTTTTGTAGAGCCCCGCCACCCCACCATGTCAATGCTGCCATGGTTGCAGCTGCCGGTCAGGAGCGGGCAGTTGTTTTCCTCTTTTGCGCGAACAGGAAGTGGTGCACATGTTCCGCACATGAGGGGCTGTAACGGCCATCAACACCTTCCCAAGTTCATAAGAGGTCATAAGTTGAGGTCGTCAACAGCTTGCTATGAAATGTTGAGGTCATAAGTTCACAGTGGCTGCAAGTCAAAAGATCAAGATCTAAGAGCTGTTCCCTAATCCTTGGCGATCGCAGTCATCCCCTGCCATTTGGGCGGCCTCCTGCTTCTCCACACCTCTACGGCGATGGTAGTGATAAAGGTGGACCAACAGGATTACACCTTCCCTGACAGCACGGTGACTTGAAGGCCTTTCGGATTCTAGTCTGGTCCTGCCCATTTCCATGTGCATTCTCATTGTTCTCAAGATCTAGTGATTGAAGTTGGTTCCAAGATATTCCACACGTCAACAGCTCGGCTTTGAGTTTCTTCGGAGGACTTGGCGATGGCTCCGAGTCTTCTTCAGAAGAAGACCCTAAAATGTATGACAAACTTTGTACCTGGCTTGAAAGAAAGCAGCATCAAGCACATGGCCAAACAAATGAATCTGAGATTGTCTATCATTGTTTCAACTGTTTCAACAAAGTCTTCTGGGCATGCAATTTTTCCCAAGTCGCTCTAGGGTGGATGGGAGGTCCACCCCTGTAAAGATCAAGAGCCATGCGGCGGCCATTGCCCTCACAGACATTGCATGTCCAGCAACGCTTTCAATCTCCTTGGCACAGGGTCCAAAATAACAAACACCTACCAGTTGAGCTGCGGTGTGCTAGGAGAATGATTGTTGAGGGCTAGAGTCGGCGCTGGCCATGTGCTCAATGGACACCTCATCGGGTGGGAATGACTGCGCCAGCAGCTTCTCATCTTTGCATATGATCCCATTCTGTAATGAACCTGCATCGTTTCCACCATATGGGAGTAGCTTCCCTTGGGCATCACCACTGGCAGGACAGTGCTGTGACCCATCAGCGCAAAGGACTGGCTGACATGCACGACGACCATGTCAATGCCAGACGCCTTCAAGATCCCGAGAGCCTTGCCATCAATCATACACACGGCATTAATACACATGGCGTTACGTAGTGCACATGTTATTTCCCAGTGAGTGGCGTTCCACTGGTGCTTGCTTGCAACAATCTTTCGCACCTCTGGCCAAAGCTCAACATCTCTTGGCTTCACCTTCCAGAAACAGACAACCCAATACTACATTACAGTGACTCAACTGCTGACTACAGCCTTCTGTTTCTTCGTGAAGTCTTTGTGATGATTTTGCAACTTTTTGCGGCTCGGTCAACGCTGGAACCAAAGCTTTAAACGTGTGGACTAAGACAAGTCGTTTGTACTTTATTTGGGCGTGGCACTTGGCTGTTCCAGGATTCTCCCAATTCTCCTTCTGCAGTTCCACTGCGCCGATCCTTCGCTGCATGTCAGCCTTCACCTCTGGGCTGGAATCGGCAAAGAGAAGTCCATTAAGCCTGGGCTGTGCCAGGGTTGGAGGGATACAGGGTTTGTGGTTGGAATGATTTGCAACAATACCTAGCTGCTGTCTTTTGCGCTGGACAAGGTCCAGCTCCAAAAGTTTCAAGTTCTTGTCCAACACCTCTTGGAAGTCACTGCTTTGCTTGTTTCCCTTCGCCGCGACCTTTTTGTGCACCAAGACGATGTATACTCTGCGGCGCTTCTGAAAACCACCAAACTTCCAAGGGTCCAAGATCAAGTCCCCCCAGTAGTAGTTTGCGAGCCGGTCAAGGCCAATCTGCAGCCTGCATGTCATCCCAGCAACGGACTGAGTTGAAGTTATAACAACACATTTCTCTCTCTCTCTCTGTCTCGGGCGCATACTCATTGCGTGTTTCTGGTACTTGTCACTTTGTGCAGTTTGGTGTCAAATCCCCAGCACATTTTCCAGCGCAGCAATCCAGGGTTGAAGCCTTGCAACAGTCTCCAAGACCATCCAAAAGATAATCAGATGCCTCCTCCTCATTCACGAGAGAGGAGTTGTTGTGCAGGAGGCTGTACCTTAGTGTGAACACCCAGCAAAAATTGTCATCTTGATGGACCCATTTGGAAATATGTTCCACGGCCTGCATGGGAATCCTGCCGCGTATGCATGAACGCGCCCTTCAATATTCCATTGACATGTGTGTGCAGCCTGCCAGGGTAAGCTCACCCACCACCAAAACTTTTGAGCAGTCCACACCAACAGCAGTCTGGGCTGCAGTTCCTCACGGCTCACTTCTAAGGACCCAGTGCGCAGTCACAACTGCTAATATGGTATATGCTGGAAGTGATCCCTTTCAGGCCATACAGCGCTCCTTCTCCACCACTACCTTGTGACCATTCTGAAGCATTGTAAGTGCAAGCATGTTTGAAGCACACTATAAAGTTCGGCCCTCGATGTCCTTCACAAACTTTGTCACGTTGAGCTTCTTGAAGTCACTCCCATGCCCATGCTGGAATCCCTTCTGGCGGGCCGACAGCTTTGGCTGCAGGTGATCGCGGTCATTCCTCGGATGAAAAGGAAGCAAGCCATGGAGACAGGTGATGGGGAAAAAAGAGAAAGAGAACAAAACAGAGAAAGTCAGTGCAGGTATGTTTCACACTAGCTCGCGCTTTCTCTAAAGCTCTGGAGCCTTCTTCCACCTCTGATGAACCATCACCATCATCAGAAGATTCCTCAGGAGAGCTTTATGGGAGAATTGTATTAGGGTTTCTCATGTGAGATTCCTCATATATCACGTATATAACCAAGTTTCCTCATCAGAGTCATATGACACATACGAAGATGAGGTGTCCACGGCTCCCTATCTGTTTCTGAGCCAATCTTTGCAGATCAGCAGGGGCCTGGTTTCACTTGAACAAAGCCCTGGTTCACATGACTGCAGCTTAAACCAACATACAAAAATACAACAAAAATCCGAACCAACAAGTACAAAATACGACCAGCAAAAAAAACATACGGAAAACATACGACCCGCAAACAACACAAGAATAACAAGAAAAAAAAGAACATTGCCGAAACGGGTTGCAAAACCATTTTTTGCGCTTTTTTCGTTTTGCTCACGCGTCGACGAGGGTGCTTGCTGATTTTGCGGCCCGACTGCCTTTGCTTTTATTCTGCCACAATGCAAAAAGACAGCAAATTCGCGAAAATGCTTCTTGACAACACATCAAAAGGACAACGTGACTTAAAATTCAATTGGCTTGGTGGGTGCTATTTGCATTGTGGCCCTCATTTGAGTATGTTGTTTGGGAACCAGGGCCAGTTATGACGTAGAACCATGCAAAACAGTTGGATTTTAGGCTTGTATTTGTTTTTGTACTTTTTTTTGGTATTTTAATGTTTTTGTATGTTTTTGTGTTTCTTAGCCTCTACCTGAAAGTCGGGGATTCAACATTACTTTCCTTGCTCACACGTAAATGGCTGCAAGGAAACATGCGGCACATCAAGACATTTGGAGTCAAGAGGCATCACCCCAAATGCATATCCGAAGAGGGCATTTCCGATCAAGTGTGCAAGCGCACCACCAAGCAAAGAGAAGTCCTCCACGTCAATCAGCAAAAATCAGGTGCTTCTCGGGCAAGTATATAGAGCTAAACAGAATCGGAACACGATGATGATGACATAGTGCACATGCACATAATCTGTGTGTATGCGTGCGCATAGTGAACATGCACGCGTGTTTCAAGAGCAACTCATCATGCGGAGGGAAGTTTGCAAGTGAGAAAAATGCAAATCAAACATCATCGAAGAATACTATGTCATAGCAGTTCCTTTCATAGGTGAGTCTCAGTCTAATGAGTATTCTCCGCATGGCTTGTTGCCTCTAGCAGTTTCAACTTTCTATCATTGCAAGCTTGAAACAAGATTAATCGGTTGCCAGCATCAGCTGCTTCAGGATAAGCACCCACCTGAACAACAGAATCTCAAAGTTGTAGGCGCAAAACCGTTTTCTAACGTCGGATTGAATTGGTCGCAGCTTCTTCCGTTGTTTTCAGAAGGTGTGGAACCTCAAATGCCTGCTTGTCTGGAACATTGGCTGAATGATATCCGCCGACCCCGCCGGTTGAAGGGGGCGCGCGCCAGAGGAGGC